ACAACTAGCAGTGTATTTGATTGGTCTGAAGAGCTGGATTGACATCATCACTTCTTTACCGTCCTCCCACAGCCTCTTCTTAAGTTGGGCCGGAAATTTGAGAGATTTAAATCCAGGGCCGTGGATCAAAGGCAACCCGTCCTCTGAAACAATACGCGCTGAGTTGCATCAGGCGACATTCGTCCGTAGTCCATGAATTGTGCAGTTAGTCTCCTGTAGAAGGAGGAACCCACTAGGGCAATTGCACTCTAATAGCATCTCTATTGTAGATGGGGTCAAATTTCAGAAAGTTCTTAACACCTTTTGTTAGATTGATATATGTCGTACGTGTGAGGCTCCCTCCATTTTATATGACAGGCGCTTATCTCGTGTTTTTATCAGGCCATTACAGTCAGTGACCGATGTCGTGAAATATTGACCAAAATTCTGAAATGTGTTTTCAATTAGGAGGGATCATTTAAGTGGGATTGTAATATTGATTATCTTTTGACATAACTCCGTGCTATTTCAGACACGCCAGGTTGTCGACTTTTTAACGCATCTTTCTTCGGCCATCTGAAAAAACCATACTCGGAAGAAACTGACTACTTAATTTGCATGCATTTTCTCTACTTATTTTCGATGCCCTTATAAATTCAGAAATATCTCGCAGGGAACATTCACAAACATATTTTTTCTTGTGCTTATTCGGTAGTAAATCATGTCTTATTCAAAGTTCGTGCTCGAAAAAGTGGTATGTTTCAGTTTTAAAAGAGTCCCTACTTGTGCGATTTTTAAGACCGTGCAATGTCCATTCAAACAGCATCAGCTCAGTTTATCAGGAATCTGTTTACTTAATAATGCCTTCATTAAATATACAACATAGTCCACATCCGTCGCAATATTTGGTAAGCCTCGTATAATACCATCTTAATAGAATAAATGAGTGCATGTTAATCTTTGCACAGAAAGTATGTGGCTTGCAGACTGAAAACCCTGAACAGAAATTCAACGGCAGATCGAGTTCGAAATTGTTCGGGAATCAAAAAACATCTTTCAAACCAAAAGATTCCCTTTAGAAACACATGTCTTTTTCTACCAAACGAGTACAAGAGAAAATATTTTTATGAAAGTCTTTATAAAACAAATTTGAATGTACAAAGACATCGAAAATGGATTAAGAAAATGTATATTACCTAAGTAAACATTTTCACCGATTGGAGTTTTTGCAGGCGGCCGAAAAGAGTGCATTCAAAATCCAACACTTTGGCATGTTCGAAATATCATGAGATTATGTCGCAAGGCAGTCAATATTACAGACCAATTCAAGTAATCCCTCATAATCGGAAGTGCATTTCAGAATTTCGGCTAACATTTCATGAACCCGGTCACTAACTGCATGCAGCATAAATGAGGACTCCGTTTCGGGTATATAGACTCTCCAAAAACGCTATAAAATTGCATTTTTGTGTTGTCTCCGTAATTTTAAGTAACTGGGAAGGGGGAATATAACGGAAACTCTGAAATTAAACCCTCGCACATTGCTGGCCGACTTTTTGCCTAACGTTTCGACTCACGAAGGACCTTGGCCTATTTTTCTGCTTAAAATTTCAACAGCGAGGGAAATTAGCGGTCGGCCTAAAAAGTGTAACAATAGTCAAGTGCCTTGCTCCTGTGGCAAAGCTTGAGTGCGAGAAATTGAAATCTCAAAGTGGCGCAAAGGGCTATTGCGGAAGAGTGCAACAAAATTTGACAGTACTCCTCTGCAAATTTACTCGAGTCTGACGACGACACCGCAAACCGGCGTCAAAATAGCACTCAATAAAGTTTTCTCCTTTTCTCAAAGAACGTATTTGCTTTCAAATACATACACAGTTAGTAACCTAACTCATTACATGTGTTCAAATTTACGAATGATTGCCAATCACTCGCAAACCGACACTAGTTCATGAGTCCAATGTCTATGCTAATTAAGTACAAGTTTAAAAGAATGAAAAACATAAAAGAAATATTGAAGGCGGTGTTGCGTTATGTAGAAATGCCGATTTTTTTAGAAAAGCGCAATATCCCGAAAACGTTGCAAATTGCTCTAATTTAGTAAACTTTGTTTTCAGATGTATAGGATGTATTCTCATACTAAAGACATAGTAAATATGAAAGTCCGCATAAAATAACGTCTAGTAATAGGGTTTTAGTGAAGTTTACATCTAAATATCGTTTAATAAGTGGTGTGACTTCATATATGACGGTTTTTCAACTGCCTACATTCTGAGTGTAGATTCTAAAACAGTTTTCCAGGGATTAGTGTTATCCTTGACTCTTTTGACATAAAAGAGATAGGTTTCAACAAGAGAAGCCGGATTTTGCTTGATTTCACCGATGGGAACGTCGTGAGATCAAAAGTTTTCATAAGGTGACATGCTGTGAGGCCGGCCGGTGCCTAATAAATTTAAATAGAACTGACAGGCGTGATCGTAAGCATACCTTTATGTGTTTATAGAGAGAACTTTTATTCCGTTAAATTAGTTTACACTCTAGGTTTGTTTTAGGTTACGTTGAGTTTCAGATCGGCCTCGAAATATTGCTGAATACTTCATGACTTTCAGTGTTTTCACCCGATCGTCCATAAAGACAGATTCTGAATTACCTGTCTGTTGAGAACTTTAAAATAAGATTATTCTTGAAGGCATTTACCGAATAAGTGAGTATTCGGGCGCTCGTTTTTACGAGGATGGTCGTTTGGGTCACATAAGAAGACTCATTCAAACTTCCTCAGCATGTAACCAATAGGGATTTCAAAGGTACACACCTTCTTTCCCTGAAATAAACGGATACCGACAGTGATACTAGCATCTCATGAGCTCGCTCACTGCCTGCATGCAGCATGAATGAGAACCCTGTTTCGGGTATATAGACTCCTCAAAAAAGCTAGAAAATTGCATTTTTGTGTTGGCTCCGTCATTCTAAGTAACTGGAAAGGGGGAATATAACGGAAACTCTGAAATTAAACCCTCGCACATTGCTGGTCGACTTTTTGCCCAACGTCTCGAGTCACGAAGGACCCTGGCCTATTTTCCTGCTCAAAATTTCAACCGCGAGGGAAACTAACGGTGGGCCTAAAAAGTGTAATAATAGTCAAGCGCTCTTGTCCTGGGGCAAAACTTGAGTGCGAGAAATTGGAATCTCAAAATGGCACAAAGGGCTCTTGCAGACGAGTGGAACAAACTTTTGAGGACGATGGTCGCGAAAGTTTGTTATTCACAGCAAAGATGGACTTTGAAGGAGAACAATTAGGGCGATAGCGTTTTTTACTTCTGGCCTATGCCAACTCTGTATGCGTTAAAATTCGTTCAAAGTGCCTTTAAACGACGACGAATTATTTAACATACTCAAACTTAATTTGTTGGGAATTCAGTAGAAATAAAGCTGTCTCTAAATAAAAAATCTCCTCTCTGCTTAATGAATAGGTCCCTAGTGCACACCCAACATGACCACAATGACATAATCGGGACTTTTTATGTGTACGTACGTTCTCTCATGAGTTTGTGACTACGCCTGCGTGAAGTGTTGCAAACTGAGAATTGTATGGTTTTTAAACAGGTTGCATGTGAAGCGTAATCTTTCCAAACTGCTTTTCTAATCAAGCTCGCTTTATCTCGTCTTACCAGCGTAAATCCCCCCTTTTCTCAACAGATGTGACATTTATGTGGCAGTATCGGCTGCCACGCTTGTCATTTCTCGTCTGATCGAGGTATACCCCAGTCCTCTAACTTAAAGTAGTAGCCTACGGTGCGTGACCGATCTCATGAAATGTTGGCCGAAATTCTGAAATGCGTTTTTGATTAGGAAGGATTAGTTATGTGGGATTGTAATATTGATAAGCGTGCAGCATAATCTTCTAGTATTTCGGACTCGCCAGGATTTCGGCTTTCGGATGCGCTTCTTTTTGACCTCCTACCGAAACCACACTTGGTAAAGATGACTATTTAAGTAGCATGCATTTTTTATTTATTTTTTGAGGCTCTTGCTAATTCAAATATATTTTATGGAAAACATGCACAAAATATGCTTTCTTTTACTTCTTTGGTAGAAAATCACGTTATCTTCATATTTTGTACCCGAAGAAAGTGCATATTTAGGTTTATAAAAAGCTTCTAATTATGAGATTTTTAAGACCGTGGATGTCCATGTTAGGTTCGAAAAGTTTACTCCTAAATTCAACAGCATTGTATATGCCAGCGAAAATGAGAGTCCCAAAAGACAGTTGAGAAGCAGACGCGATCGTTGGGAAGAGAATTTTGTGGCCCGACGTTTCAGACTCATGTTCGTACACAACATTAGAAACATAAGATACGGGTAATTCACGCACAGGGGGTTGTCGTATTTATAGACGACAGTTGCAATGTTACCACACCCCCATAGGAATAAACGGCTGCCCCCTTCATGGCGGATGATTGCCCTTGGAGCAAGAATTACTTGATGGTCTGCATTCTAGTCGTTCATCGCCGCAATTTCATCATCCATCTTGGATGTTGGCGTGATGCTTACTCGACTAACTGACCCACCGATGCTGGCGTTGCAGAGAGTTCGCCTTCATGCTCTCCGAGTGGTTAGTGGCTCTTCCAAAACTAAGTTCCAGTGCCAAATGCGGAAGGGGAAATGTCATTGCACCTGCTAATAAACTGAGAACCAGTGTGTTGTGATTCATGCGGCTCGCGTGCTCCTCGAGTGGCTCTTCACTCTGCCCAGTATTAAATATGGGGAGGAAGGTCACTGCACTTACTAATAAACAGAATGAGTAAACCATGATTCAGGCGGTTTGCAACTCGCACGATTATCATCTCTCGCAAGAATTTCGGCTTCTTCGAACTTGAATGTGGAGCCCGGTTCCCGTCGCATGAGCCGCGGCTTGGGAGCTGGTGTCGCCTCTCCTCACCGCTGTCACGCTTTCAACCATTCGTGGTCCCTTTGTGCACTACTTACTCGTATCTGATGCTACCTCTGATGGTGAGTTTGAGCTGATGGGCTTGGGTGATGGCGGCGGCGGCGGCGGTGGCGGCGGCGGCGGCGGCGGCGGCGGCGGTGGTGGTGGTGGTGGTGGTGGTGGTGGTGGTGGTGGTGGTGGTGGTGGTGGTGGTGGTGGTGGTGGTGGTGGTGGTGGTGAAACCTCTTCGTCCAGCTTTCTGTGCCTCATATTCCCTAATCACCTTCCTTGCAAGGAGTAAGGACTGATTTGTTTAACAAATCACTTTCAAAATAAGTAGTCATTCCTGTTTTGTCCTAGAGTCAGCTTCCGCATATTTGGATTTTATAGAAAATACAGTGCTCCTGCTTAACTTGGTATCAAATTCCAGTCTAAATTTAGTTAGGATTTAGTAGATGTGTGTTTGTGAAAACTAAAATAAAGTGTAGGAACTGGAATTGTTATAAAAATTTTGTGGTTCAAAATACTACAATTTGGCAGCACTCAGGCAAAGATTCTGTTGTTTAATTTCTTCAGTTTATCTGTTTGTTCTGCAATTTTTTACATACTTCTAATGATCATGGACAAGTCAAAAAATTCAGATTAACGAACTGCTCCTTCCAGCATTCAAGTGGTTTTCTGTTACAATTACTGAAATTATAGGCAAATTTTTACAGCTATATGAGAAAGTTTGAAGAACATTGGAACATTTTGCCCCTCTCTGCAGACGCTAACAATGACTGACTACTTACTCAAGCCACAAAGCACTTTCGGTCTACTTAATTAACTGTACAGGGTGGAGTTTAATTATTGTTATTCTTTATGGATGCAAATTTGTGCACTGCATCTCCCCAACTGAGGGCCTCTCAGGAGGCTCAACGTCTCTACATCTCGTTAAGATATTTGCGTGATTACTTCTCAGAACGAAGTATTTTGATTTCCAAGAACCCACGCCAAATGACGCCAAAGAACTGCCAAATCTATCATATTCAGACGCTGTGTCGCAGACTCTGCGGAACGAGACGACATCTCTGATAAATTAAAAAAGACTGAAAAGATTGATTAACTTGACTCCCAGATTTGGCACAGTTTGATGGGCAGGTTGCGTGACTGTTTCAATCTCTAAATGAAATCAAGCGTGCATTTTAAAATCAGTTAGCTCTCCTGAGGCATCTCCTACAGAATTAAATATTCATGTTTTGGCTTTCGGGGAAGGCTAGGGTTGTCCTGAATCGTCCACCAAAGCGCACGCTCTCTCTGGCAATTTGTTACTTAAATAAGATCTACAGTTGACTTTCTTTGAAAACATAAGAGGGCAGTCAGATGTTTGGCTAGAAGGTGAAGCAAAATCAACTTTTTGCTTGAAAAATGCCAAAAGCCACCTCTGGCAGAGTTTATGTTGACGTACAAATACGACGGCTTTATTCTCCTGTATTTCAATATTCAGGCACATTATGTAATTGGATGCAAAGTTTAAATCACTTCTAGTCAGTTGAAGACACTAAGAAGACTATTAAAGTGTGTATAAGTAAAGAAGAAGAGTCGAGCACCAGAACACTGTGTTTCTTGTCCTGAGCTTTCAGACTCGTACAGGAGTCCATCGTCAGAGGTGGCAGCAGCAACAGAACAAGCGACAGATATAAGGCATGAAGGCCAATCATCGACCAACGGCGCAAGACTGGAGGTGACTACGCAGGGCTCTGTACGCCGGCTCCAGATCGATAAATCTATTGATCGAGTTGTCAACTGGGGCCCAGGCTTCAATCAATTCTCGGCCTATTTTCTTTCCGGCGTGGGCGACTATTTTGGTGGCTGCGTTCTGTGGTGGCTTGTTCTGCTGCTGCTACCTCTGACGATGAACTCCCGTGCGATTCTGAAAGCTCAGGACAATAAACACAGTGTTCCGGTGCTCGACTCTTCTTCTTCATTTTAAAGCAAGCAAGGACAGCAGAATTTAATGGTACCACAAAATTTCGCGACGGCTTCTCAACTGCTGCCCGTCGTTGCATAACAGAAATAACAAGTGAGAAAGGTACAAAGATTTGAATTTCGACAGAGAAAATCGATGTAAAACAGCAAGGTCAACGTGCACTGCGCGTAGACTAATCGATAAAATGGTAACTTCAAAATGCAACATAGGAATGAAAATGGGGAACTAGGCATGCCGAGGAATTTCGAAACGCAAAATGGGGGTCCGGTTCTACCAGGGCAAGCTGAGGTTGACCACGTGGTTTAACTGTTGACATAGGTCGGGTTTCTCCCGCCGTATATAGGCTGCCTCCAGGTAGCGCAATAACCGAGTAGTTCGTGCTCGAACTAATACTCGAAAGGACGTCTTAGGGTCGACCGAATGGCCACTATCAAGGAGATGTTTTGTAATGGAAGACCGTGGAGTCTTGTTCTCCTGCTTTAGAAGCCATTTAGGCAGATGCTCAACTGCTCTGGCTGCCAGTTGCCTTTGCGTTCGCCCAATGTACTTGCATCCACCTGGAACTCGAAATTTCGCCTTCATTCATTAAAGTGTGTTTCCTCGAGTCTTCCGAAACCAGCCCAGACCTGTCCTCATGATGGCGAACGTCCGAAATTTGTTGACATTGTCCTCGGTGTTGCCGGCGGCTGCGTTCCATGGGAAATCTTAGAATTTTATTAAAAAGTCGAACAAAATTGCCTCTTCTCCAGGCTGGCTAGTTCCGTAGACACTGTTTTTCGCCTGACAGCCGATCCATTACCTGAGAAATGTTTTCAGAACGCTAGAGTGGATATTTCCGATTCACTTGCCATCACCATTCAGTCATGATCCAATATCTGACCAGACAGGTCCGGAGCTCTTGGATTAGTCTGAGCTGAATTGGTGATAATCTATCAATTCACCACGGGATCACATACTGTCGGCTCGTTGGCTTATCCTGATCATGAGATGGAGTAAATCTCCTCTAATGTATGATTCACTGTGGAGAGGAGCAGTCTGGAAGCGAATGTTGGTTGTGGAACGATAGGTTTAACGTCTAGATTTCACATGGGTAAAACTCCAGCAAATTCTCCAAGATTACTTTAAACTTCAAAAGGCAATTTGGCGAGCATACGTCTGCTTTCGATAAATTCTCTTCACGCCTGTACATTTATTTGGCTATTGAAGTATTGAATTAAAAGATACGGGCGAGTAGATAATTAAGCTGTAGCTCGGGTTCGAGGAGGGGAGGGGAGGGGGAGAGTGAAACACCGCAATTCCAGTCAGCTCCAGGAGGAACGTAATTACCTTCGCCGGGACCCACCCTCCTCCTGGCGCTGATTGGAATTATGATGTTTCACTCTCCCCCTTCCCTCCCCTCCCCAAACCCGAGCTACAGCTTTATTATCTACTTGCCCGTATCTTTTAATTTATTACTTCAATAGCCGTATAAATGAACAGGCCTGAAGAGAATTCATCGAAAGCTCGCCAAATTCCCTTTTGAATTTTACAATGGAAATTTTCGCAATTCCAAAACAATCCAAAGATTACTTTAAACTATTTAGCCTACTTGGGATTGATTTTTCAATTAGTGTCCAATCAGAAGTGTCGCCTTTTCCCTGCTTTCTGAGCGTCCTTTAATGTCCTAGACAGTTTTACTTATTGTTCGCCCTGAGCCCTGTTCCTGCTGAGGAGAGACTGAAGACCGTCTGAGTTTGCTTTTAATGCGCTGGGCTCTGGGCAGCCTAACTAGGCCTATACTCGAAAGTAGAAAAAGAGTACTTAAGTGTGGTTGCCGTGGTGATTATCAAAGAATTTAAATCCATGGAGATCCTCCAAATGTCTGATTTCACCTACCTTGCACGGTGGCAACAAGGCGTGTCGACAGTTATGGAACCGAATGGCATTTTCGCATTGGCCTTCAAGGAAAAAGTATTTGGCCCAATTGTAAAAAAATCGACTGCTTCCGTGGGACCATTATAGCTCAACTAATGTCTGACTTCTAATCGACATTGGACATGCTTCCAGATCAGCTTCCTGCTTTTCAAGCCTTTAAAACGCCGGTTATATTTCCGAAAATTGAGGATGTGTTCAATTTTCTACCAGTGTTCTAGAAAAAAGTTTCTTCAATTTGTTACTTGGAGGAAGAACGTACTTTGCTGTTCGAAAGTTTGTAAATATAAGACTTTCCGAATGTTTACGCTTTTGGCAATACAGTCTAGTATCCGTATCATGTCCTTTTGTCTGATAACATATATGACAAATGCATTTCAACTGACTGCCAAAAGGTTTCTTTTTTGCTGTCATGAGGGAAAAAATATATTTTTTAAAGAGTACTTAGTCTGTATTATGAAAACGCATTTTATCGTGCGAAGGATGTGGGACTTGCTAAACTTTGTAGGCCAAAATATGCCCTTCTCCAAATATCAGATCCTAAGACGTACGGCATGCTAAAATTTCCTTTTGGTGTTTACTCATTGACATCTTGTCTAGGAAATATAGTTGAATCTTAGCAAATGGAAAATTAAGAATATTATTCACTATCTATTGGAGAATCTCTTGAGAAGCTGGAATGGTGCCCGAGCAAAAGCCGGCACATTGACGTGCACGAAGCAACCTCGGGCAATATTTCATGCCAGTCTGTTTTGAAAGCTCATATTAATAGTCTTCGCCAACTGAATATATCTTTTAAGTCGGGACTTTATAAGCGCAGGAGTAACACGTACTATAGCAAAAAAGAATTTTGTGACGAGGAACAGAAAAAAAATGTAAATACATCGAAAATAAAGCGAAGGCCTGGAATATTTCTTTATTCTTTTTAACTTGATGGCCTATGACCATGTAACTGCCTTCGGGGCGCTTCATATTGGATTTCAAGCCCAATTAGGAAGACCATGTTCCTTTGCACAGTCGAATCAGCCATGTCAACTCAACTTATTTTTGTGCGTCAGTCATCTTCTGTTAGTTAAGTGTCAGATAGCTGCTTATAGTGAGCGGTCCTGTTCCAAATCGCATGCGTTATAGCAGGTATGCTGTCGACCGTTCTCAAGTTGCACCCTAGGGAGATTTATAATCGTTTCGTAAATTATTTAAAATATCTACTTGCACAATTTTAGTAGCCAAGTTCGATGTGTTTTATACATTCCAAAGACCGTGAGTTGTAGAAACCTTACCTACATAAACGGGGACAGTGGAATGAGCATTTTCGCGTTGTTTAGCGTTATTCATCACAAGCGACGCTTGAGCCAACGTTTTGAGTTACGTCAGTTCGCCTCACCTGGCAGTATCCATCAAGCGCAAACGACCAACGCGAAGTCGAGGCCGTTCACGATAAGTACAAATAGGCTAGTGCCTTGTTGAATGCCTATGAATTCGGGAACTCGGATGCCCTGTTTATCAGTCTTTCCCGATTAACTTTAAGCCACTCAATATCATCGCCCTACTCACAATTCCTGTCTCTCCGGAAATCAACATGTTAGCAGGATTATCACCAACATAATCTTATAAGACCAGATAGCGAGCACATGTTTGTTTTCGACAAATCCCCGTCACGCCAGTTCATGTTTTTACCTCTAGCCTGCTCCCATACAAATGTACTGGCCTGAGGGGAATTTATCGAAAACAAACGTATGCTTGCGAACTGGTCCTCTGAATAATTCCATAACTTTAGCATCGATTTTTCCGCCTCCTGATCATGACTCTAGTGGTTGCACTTTGCGGCCAATTTGTCGTTTTTGCGATTGTCCTGCGTTGGCGTTCTCACGCTCCCAAACGCAACGAACTCACCGTGCCAGCAGCAGTTACACTCTGACAACTTGTCCTGCTTCTCGTCCTTCCTCGTTGGCCTTCCCACGCTCGTATCAGCAAAGGCCAATATTTCGAAAGCAACATCGCTGTGGATGGCAAGTTGCGCTTAAACGCCAGCCTAAAAACAAGTTGTCAATCCCGACTTTTCTTTCGACTAACTGTCGGTCGATATTTAACAAAGCCCATGATTTGGAATTACTTCTGTCAACCAAAGAACATGGCAGAACAGGAGAAATTTGCCTTCAGGAGACGTGGTTGAATAGCCATATTGACTCGGAACTAATCACTCCTTCGACATTTTGTTGTTTTCGAAATGATAGACCATCTCCAACAGGCAGTAGAGGTGGAGGAGTGGCCATTTTTGTCAATCAAGACTGGTGTATAAATTTGGAACAAAATGTCAAAAAGGTTCGCGGGTCAACGGCGGCTGGGCCGGACGGTGTCTCTCCTTTTCTCCTTGATATCATCGTGCAGCGACACTTCAATATGGTGGAGCAATTTGCTGGCCGAATTCTGAATGACACCGTCCATCCCCTTCATAATGAGTTAATGGCTGCGAAATCCTTACGCCCCATGCGTCGATGCTTCCACCACATCCCTTGTCGCACTTCGGCTTATCATAATTCCATACTGCCATTTCTAGCCGGGTATCTCACCTGCAAAGATTCTGAAAAACAAAAGCTAAAACTCGATCTTGCACCTTAAAGTCCTTTTTTCTTCATATATAATTATGTCCACCTGTCCAATACCTGTTAATCTCTATGGTTATCACTGTGTACTGGAGAAACGTTTTTGCTGAAAGTTTTGAATGTTATTTTCAAAATAAAGCACTCCTCTCTCTGTCTCTCATTGTGCTGTAGCCATGCACTCAGAGTTTCGCAGACGAATTGAGAGTTTAAGGACGAACAACTCATGAATGACTTGTCTCACACCATTAGCAATTCAGCCAAGTGAGCATTGTAAAGCTCGGCGGCTCCGAGTCCCTCATGTCGCTAGCGGCGCTTCGAGAGGTAGGGGAAAAACTTTAGACCTTAATGGCATAAACGAACACCAATGGTGGATCAGTTCAATAAAGGTCCGGTATGCGATAGTATGACTGTTTTTTAAGTTCTCTGACATCTGAAGCTACTGAAACGATGTAGCGGTTCTGTCATTATTATCAGGTCCGCAGATTGCTGCGCGATACGGGGCAATGTGTAAGCAGAAACTTGGTTGAACGTTTGGAATCGCCGTGCTGGTAAACTGCCATTACAAAAAGGACGCCACAGCCCGTCTTTTTCGATATCGGAGGGTCTACGACGCAAATTAAGAAATATTTTAGGCGGCTGCACTCAGGCTACGCGAACCGGTCCCGTGCGCTCAGAGTAACTTCATACAGTTCCCACAGTTGCCGTGGGTCAAAGCCACCAAACCAGCCATCTGTATATAATTGCCTTTTGAGGGGCCTACCTTCTCCATGGCGCTGACCGGAATTTTGGTTTCCTTTCCCCCTTCCTTTCCCTCCCCAAACCCCAGCTACAGCATAACTATCTCCTTGCCTGTATCTTTTGATTCCTTATTTCAATAGCCACGTAAATGTATAGGCCTGAAAAGAATTTATCAAAAGCTGGCGTGTGTTCGCCCAATTGCCTTCAGGACTTAAGATAGTACTGAAAAGGGCCAGTCGGTATCCGAGTTCCCATGACTGACAAAAATTAGGTTCATTCATAGATGTTTTCGCAGATTTTCAATGATTCATATTGACCCAATCGTGAAAAACCCGGCATCTCGGTGGGATTTGAACCCATGACATCAAGGGGAAGGCTTTAGTACAGCCAACGATCTAACCATCTGAGTTATGAGACCCCAGGGGGAGACGTGAGTTTAATCACGTTTGGGTCAGGTTGCCCGCCCAACCTATCGCAACATCTGGAATCCACCAAATCTGATACAGCAAGCTGACAGAAAAAGCATCTATAGATAATGTGAGCCTGGTAGTCATCTGGTGGATTCTAGGTGGGTTACTTAGGAAATCCTGTTTGGTCAGTAGGCTTGTTGTATCAGACTTGGTGGATTCCAGACGCTGCAGTAGGTTGGGCGGGTAACCTAACTCAAATGTGATTAAACTCCCATCTCTCCCTGGGGTCTCGTATTTCAGGTGGCTAGAGCGTTGGCTGTACTAAAGCCTTCCCTTTCCTGTCGTGGGTTCGGAACGCACCGAGGCGCCGGGTTTTCCACAGTTGGGTTAATATGAAAAATGTAGATCCTCTTAACGTTGCTACTCATGGAAAGAAGTGAACTAAAGTCGGTCAGCTGAGTGAGTTTTTGAAAAAATCTCATTAAAATTTATTGGAGGAATATTCACTGATTAAGAAAACAATTTCTGAGTCGACGCAGCTCTCTGGGAAGCTTCTTGATCAAAATTCAACATGCTTGCTTGCGACTTACAATAGCAGTTATCGGCAATGATTCCTTATTTCCCTCGGTTGCCACCTTTCATCGATGGGTGTAGGTCATTAATGATTACGATCAGGGTTTTGTGAGTTGCAGCGCAAACATAGCATGTTAGCGTGATGCCATCCAGTATTACAGTCTAACTGCTATAAAATGGGTACTAATTTTTTTTTAATATGCACGGTCTACTTTATCTATGATCTGAAACTTCAGAAGGCGACGCATTTTTTCATGACTCGGACCATGCCATACAATACCTACTGGCCTTTTCGAAATATTCGCGATTAATATGAAACTTCAGGTGAAGCCTGTTATTCTGGAGACCTCACATTCATTTGACCAGAACCCATCACGAGTGCTTGCGTCTCCTCTCATGTTCGTGAGAAGACTTCTACTTTGTCTTCAGTAGTCATCAATATCACTCATCAATTGCATCCGCAGCTGCCGTCTGGCCTATAAAAGGTGAGGAGTGTATGATTTTAGCCACCTACATTCATGCGGCCTTAACTTTTTTCCCATCTAAAATGACATGTGTAAACGCCAGTCGAACCAGGGTTATTATGTCCCCTTGATATTAAAATCCCCTGCATCGAATAAACTTGTTGATTGATGCAAGTAATGATAACTGAACTTTTAACGATAAACTTTCATGCAACTCACGTAAATGCGCTGCGGTGAGCCGGGAAGAGAAAGCGGGCGTCCGTTGGCGCGGGTCCAACTGATTCTGAGTTGGGCGGAACCCTGGGCCCGGCAAACCCATGTGAGGGAGTCGCCTTCGTCGACTATTTTTGAGGCCAGACCAGGCAGAATTAGAGGTGCCTGCGTGACTATCATCTCTCCGTAGGCTGTCGGCCAGAGATTTCTGTTTAATGTCTCTGCGAGGTAGCAAAAAAATGGGGAGTTTGTTACATAATCGTGCTTCTAAACAAAACTGACATCGAAAATCTCCGATCCTCTTCTATTGTAATCGCGTAAACACAGTCGAACGGCTTTACGGCAGAAGCATACTTTTAGTGCATTTTTCTCCAATTTCTGTGGTTGGTTTACTACTTGCGTGCTTATCCACGTGTCTCAAGCTGTCCTGACTACGTTGAATCGGCCGCTTTGGGATGATTTATGGAAATAATTCTACCTTAATGTTGTCGCGAAAAGGTTGAATGGATGGAGTTTGAAGTCCTACCTTACCGACCGTTTCTTCCTTCCTGCTTATTTGGTTGGGTTACTACGGGGTCGTTCGTGTAATTGTTCTACTTAAAATAAATCGGTGTCTCATCGTGGACTCTGCATCCATCTAAGCTGACTCTAATCAAAACCGTGAGTTACTCAGATCAACAGTGCATATTTACCGGAGAGTAGTCAATTAAACGCCAGATTTCCAGCATATCTCTAATGCCAGAATTCAGGATCCACGGTTGTAAGCAACCTATGAATATTATGTCAGTAAGGAAATAGATCCCCTTGAACACATCAAGAATTAAGATTTTTCATTTTTTCTAAGGCAGATTTGCAGATGACGAAATGTTGACCTTTGAATGACAATTTGTAGTCAGTTCCCTCAAACGAAAGTTTTGCGAAAGCAGATGGTGATTGCACAACACCTGAGGGCTAAAGCTGTCTTCTTCGAATAAAACTGCGTACTCCCTCAACTCTGAATGTGTTTTTGCAAAATAAAAAAGCCAAGATCAAATGGAAGTGCTCACTTTTATTCTACAGTTGAAATATGTTTGTGAACGCCTCCTTTGTATGTTTTTTTTAAATAATAGTTACCGAACTCTTCTTACTGTTTTACATGCTTCACGCAATAATTCGTTTCCAGTCTAGGTCATCCGGGTAATTCCAAACAGCTAACCTCACTGCGAGTTCAATGTACGTTTAATTGTAACGCTCCTATTTAATTGGTTTGATCAAGGATAACCATGGTCTCAGAGATGATGCTCTTCTTAGTCATCAACCCATACCTGTTAGCTGCTTGAACTCTTTATTTTCATCGTCTGTTTGACTAATTTTCTAACCCCACAAGCCCCTAGATAGTTTGTTCCTGTAGGAGGACGCATTGAAAAATCCCTCAAATACAAATTTTTCTGCATTGACTTTAAGGAACGTTTTAGCCAAGTTGAAGAGGGAGTTATACATTTCCAGCTAAAGAAGATATCATGTCAATTTTAACTTACTTATTTCGATAACACATCGATAAAGACCGTTGTCGTTTATGTCCGCAAAACGAACACGTAGCTGATAGGTTCGCAGTTGATCCACATTAGTTCCTGGCATTGTAGGTGCATAATCTGGTCTACCCGGTAGGAAGACAGCTTGGTACTTCGGCATGCCATAGAGTCCAATTCTTATCGGTTCTAGCAGTTTGCCGCCAATACTTATTTGTTTACCGCCGTAATACCAGCTTGCTTGCTAAAAAAATCATGAGGTCATAGCGTATTAATGGCTTTGTTTGTTCATTTTCTGGACGACAGGTGATGGTGACTTTATGGAAAAGACACAGCAATAAATGTTCGCAATATCTTCCTCCTATTACCTCAAAGTTAAACAGAGCATGGCCTAGATTCACTGACAGAAAATTATTAAAATAAACTTTTTGAGAAATTTATGGATTTGCGATTAATTACGGAGGAAAATGCAGCCGGTCAATCATTATCTTTGGTTCGCACGGTCTGCAGCCATTTGGGTGAATTTGACCAAAATACACATGCCTTCAGGTAGTCAATGCCGTCCATATTCCACCTAACTAAATCACCTCTCTGGAGCTGCAATATAAATAACACTATGACAAAGGCGATCAGCGTAGAAAATTTCATCCCCTCAGGTATGACTCGATACCATCAGCCTGACATTCTCAAGGGGCGCCACCACGGAAGTGCGTGGCTCGGCAAGGTTGGCACCAAATGGGGGAGGTAATTTCCGTTGGAATATACTGAAACGATTCTTGAGTCATGATGCTGTCCAAGCATTCAAATTTCTAATTCACACCTCACAGGTAATAAGCGCTTTCTGTTTTTCCTGACGACTAAAATTTCAGTAGTTTGGTGTTGGAGACGTTATAGGACCTCTCAATTAGACATTTGGCCTTCATTGTCTGAAAAACAACTACACTTACGTGATGGTACCCTTAACAGGGGCAAATTTACAAAGACTTTTTTACCAAATGTATTTACACCGCAAAAGACATCAAATGACCTCTCGTAGAACCCAATGCGCGGCCGATTGCCGAACTTGCACTTGGTGAGTTACCGCATCATGATCACCTTGCCATTAGACTGCGTACTTTCTTCGTCTCGAAAGACAAAATATGTGTGACTTTTTGGAGGAGTCTTTAATAACTTCACCAACGACAATATCACGCGCCGCACAAACTTCATGTGCAGGAACATGAAGGAAATACTTAACGGTCCCCTTGTATATGAAGTTTTAAAGAGTTTGTTGCCAATTGCGAGGCTATATTCGCAACACTTAGATGTTTAGCCAAAGGACGTAGGTCACAGTCGGTCGGTTCAGCTTTTGGAGGATGCCATCGCCAAAAAGTCAAACAGGTCCCTTGATAATGCGTGTGGTAAAAGGACATCTCGCAATCGAGAGGCATAGCCATGGGAAGTAAGCTCACTTTGCCTCAAATCTACTAGTTCATAATCCATAGGACAAGCGGAACTCCCTCCCCGCTATGAACGGGCATGTTTGGCACTCGTTAAAAGAGCGGATCACTGAGGACTTCTTTGTATGAAGGACTAACAAGTAGTTTACTTGCCACTTTTTATAATACACTTTTAATGCAAAAACTAGGGAAGCTTCTACTTGTAGAAATCGACTGCCACCGTCAATCGGCCACATGGAGAAGGGATTCGCGGTAGTAATAACGAGGAGACAGCTGTAATGTGGGCATAGGGTAATTGCCCGGGCTGCTCATTTAAGCAAAACGTTTAACGCACTATCGCAGGTGCTGTCTACGGTAATCTTTCAGCATTCCGAACAAACAATATCTCGACGATATAGACGGTGCGCACAAAGTCGATATCGACGTGTCGATGGTGCTCATATACGTAGTGGACATATTCTTGCTAAAGGTAAAACTTCAGTGCGTAGGCCCTGTATCGCAGTTATAGCCATTCAAAAGGAACAGAACTAGTTTTAGAAACGCTATTTTTCGATTTTTTACGGTTTGTACTTACGTTTAACTGAGATTCGTCCAAAACCATGGTACAATTCAAGTAACCCGTGTTCTTTTCTTGTACAACTTCAACATTTATTTTGTCAACAATTTGAGGGATAAAGTTAGCACTGTAGATACCTAATGGGAATTTTCAAATTGAAAACTCTACTCATACATCTCACAAGGAATCCAATAAATACCACTATCAGAGCATTCATGTGGGAAAGGCATACAAAAAGCCGGTATTTATCTATTTGAGCTTATTTATGCAAACAAACAAGACTGTCATGTTTAGCAAAAACTTCAGGCATGACACAGGTCTAATTGAGAATCGGCATGCAATAACATATACTAAATTCTTTCGGCGGCAAAACATGTACAGATGAAGCCCAAAAGAAATATTTTTTTGTTCCATTCCTGCTATAAGATTTAGATGTGCATTCATCAGGGTTCTCTTTTGTATCTGGCAAGTTTATGTGGAAAAGTCCCCTAAAGATTGACAGAAATAGAGCCGTCCACTTCCTACATATTCTTTAATGTTAAGCCAGACGATGCACTGCGTCAGACTCGTAACATCGTTTAGAATTTCAGGAAGCTATTTTCCGTAAATTTAAGTCCGAGATGGCGTTGTCACCAAAGACCTCGTTTGATCACTTTTAGTGACACAGGAGACTTGCGTACAGTAGTAATTCAGTTTTTTCGGAATGTCGCTTGAAACTGTCTTATTGTTTTGTTTATATGGAATTTACTTTACGAATAGACTACAAGAATTCGGGGAATAAATATTAAAGTTTTTGTCCATGATTTGCAGCCCAAAAGCCTGGCCCTACGAAACACGTAACAGCAGATGTCCCTAGTAATTTATTGGTTTGAAGGAGCTTGCATAGTCGCTTTAAATGACTTTTTACGGTACACACAGTCCTTGATTATTTCTTCATTTCGTCCATTTTTCTGCCAACACCTGATACAGTTCTAAATGGGAACTAAATGGAGACAAATCGGATCTTGATGTCGTACATCCCAATTTAATCCTGCCTCTAGGACGGGGACATCCGCCAGCAGGATTAGTTCTTCCTCTTCGCAAAGTGCATTGGATATCTTGGATGGAAAATCGAAGTGACCCACCATCCTTCGCTGTTTTAGAGGTTACGCTAATTCCTGTTCAAATCTCGACCAACTGTAACGCACTATTGTTACCAGGCTTATTTCTGGTCTCTGAGTTCATCCATTCTAAAACGGCCGACCTATGATATGATGGCCCTTGCCGCCATGTTGAAAGTCGTCAAACAGAAAGAATCGTTAATTGTATAAGCCGAACGGACCTTTTTTATGAACCTTCTATGATATTTTTACTTCCTGATTTGCTGTAATCTGCGACAGCACAAACAAATACAGGCGTTGAGGTGTGCTTGCGTCAGAGCTGAAAGGGGCAAATGCGGCAAAGTGGTAAAGAGACACTGGAAGCAATGAGTCACAGAAAATAACAGGCAACTTATTAAACACGAACTATATTTTTAGAGTGTGCTTAGTCAACTTCGCAACTGAACTCACACAATCCGCCCTGTTTGGCAGTGAATGTACACTAGTCAAGTGGGTGTGAATGTAAATCTGTTGAAATGGTAAGCCGATTTTGTTACGGGCAGATCTCAGCGTGTGTGTATCGGAAACGCTAAACCGTAATGAGCATCCGTCCACAATGGCGTTCTGCAGGGGAGCGTTTAGGGTTCAATTCTCTTCTTACTATATTTTCACGACTGCCCGGACAGTCTGAACTGCGAGCGCGTAATGTTTGCCGATGATCTCAAATTGTGGAAATCAGTAGAGAAGCCGGAATACTTTGTACCGTTAGAGGACAATCTAAATCGCTCGCAACAATGGCAAAATGAGTGGTGTCTTAACCTCAGTCGTAACAAATGCCAAATTATCTGATTACGGTCGAGCAGCAGGAGGCCGTCGAGATTTGAATCTCACTACTTTATAGGAGGTCACCAACTCGAATTAGTCAACCAACTAAGAGACCTCGGTGTGTGGATGACGTCAACTCTCAAACCATCGTCTCACTGTGCCAAGTTATCAAAAAAGCTATGGGTATCCAGGGCGCGATTAGAAGACCCTTCCTCAATTTTGACGCATAACTTTTCGGTTGAGTATTTGGAGCATTCGTCCGACCAATATTGGAATATTGTGTTCAGGCATGGTGTCCCTGAACGAAAAAAGATTATACCCTACTGGAGATCGTACAACGAAGAGCGACCAAGCTAGTCGGCGGATTAAGTAGCTTACCTTATGAGAGACGCCTGGAAAAGCTAAAAGTATTTCCTCTCTTTTATAGACAATACAGAGGGGATATGATCATGGCCTTTAGGATCGTCAGAGGGCTAGACTGTACTCTTCAGTTTGATGATTTCTTCGAAGGGGCGCAGACGACAAATCTTCGTGGGCACCAATACAAATTGCAGCTTAAATATGCCAAACTCAAATTGCGGGCCAAATTCTTCTCCCACCGGCTGGCTGAAAGATGGAACAAATTACCGAACTCCGTTGTTTTAGCGAAAAACGTATAGACCTTCAAAAAAGCCTAGATAAATTTATGCTTGATGGTCAAACATCTGCACAATATTAATGACTGGCATAACTGCTATGTAAATATCTGCACGTTTTTTCATACATCTATCTGTAAATAGGGTTTTCCAAGGATCTGTCTGTATCCCTCATATATGATGAACTATACCGAATAGCCTCGCATAGTTCGATTTATTTAAAGCTAACTGGCTACGCCTGACAAGGGTTCATATAATATTCAGGTTAAAACAAATATACTATCGCACTTTTGTCATTTACGTATGAATCGTGCAGAACACTCTTTTAATAATGCGGGACAGTGATCTGGACACCCACTAGTATCGAAGAAAATTTGAAATGTAAAATAATAATCATCCCCTTTAGCGGTAAGTATGTGCGAATCGTTGGTCTGGTTTAACAAATGTTCCATGGCCTGATGAACGGTTTTTTTCAGGCAAATGTAACTCCATTTCATGTTTATATGCCTCCGCTGAGTCTGACACTATTACTACCTCAAAAAATCCGTTACAGGCACCGACCATTCGCTGCAAAAACGAGTACCTACGAACATCCAGGTGTACTAAGCTTCCTCGCAGCTTGATGCAGT